AGTGTATGTTATTATGGCCAAGGATATAAAAGACAAAAAGGGGATAAGTCTGGAGTGTTATCACCAGCCTATATAACCACTATATGCCCAGTCATCCAAGTTAGGAATTTAAACCAGGAGAAATTCTGATCTCAATTCCTAACTCAGGAAATGCCTTGTGCCTAAATTAGGATGCAAAATGCATGTACCTCTAGAGGCTTGAAGCTACTCTTTACCAACAATTGGTGCTAGTGTAACATCACATGTACTTGGTAGTAGTTGGGAGTTGGTTGCATTTGAACTTCTTTCGAAAGGGAGATTTCTATATCAAACCAAGGTCTCTTCATTGGTTTCGTCATTGGGTGGATGAGGTTGGAATGCAAGATCTAACAAAGTGGAAAGAGTTCTTCAGAGTTTTTGAGGAGTAGTTTATGACAATTTGTGAACTTGTTGCTCTGTTAATGCAAATAATATTGCCTCCAAATTTGAAGAACATTCCATCTAGATATGTTCTTGTTGGTAAACAAGTTGCCATTACTTTACGGAGATTAGGTTTAGGTGATTCTTTTGCTAGATTGACAGAGCATTTTGGTGTTTCTAAAGCAATAGTCTGGAAGTATTGTTAGAAGTTCTCTGACTCAACATTCCAGCATCTAGGATAATTTCTTTTGTGGCCTGTAGATCTGTCAGTAGTCAAAATAGGTTTTGAGAGTTTTTGTGGCTTCTTGAATTGCTATGGTGCAATTGACTACACACATTTCGAAGTTGAACTTCCTAAAAACACTTTTGTAAGTAATTATTACAACAAGGACAAGGATAACTCAATTGTCATGCAAGCAATCATTGATAGTGAAGCAAGGTTTTTGGATATTTGAGTTGGAGATCCTGGGAGTTGCAATGACATAACTATTTTGAGGAAGAGTTCATTCTACAAAAGAGCTCAATTAAATGAGATTCTTAACTTACCAATAGTCTCAAGAGGCCAATACCAGTTTTGGGAGTATATCATTGGAGACTCGGGATACTACGAGCTTCTGTGGTTAGACCATTTCCAAGTGCAAATGGAACTAAATTGAGGGAAGCATTCAACTTTTAATTGTCGTCTTTGAGGATGGTATGTGAGAGAAGTTTTGGATTGCTTAAAGGTCATTAGAGGATGTTTAGGAAGTTGGTTAAAGTTTAGACCATCACTCAGCTAACAGTTGCCATAAAAATAGCTTGCATTCTACATAACTTCATTATTAGTATAGATGACATAGGGGAAATAGATATTGAGCTTGAGCCAGTGACTAATCAAACACAAGGCTAGCGACCGGAGCCTCATATCACTGCTACAAAGCTTAGAAACATTCTCATTACTTATGTAGTAGACTTAAACAAATCCACTTGAAGCTCACAAATTTATTTATTTTAGCGTGCTCACAAACTCAAATTTTGTTTTATTTTTCAGGGTTTTAAGTAAGAGATTTCAGTACAAGGCTTGAACGCAGGCACAGCAGGGAACCTGGCTGAGAGCATAGAAAGGGGGGCTTGCTGCCAGTGTTGGTCTGATTCTAACATTCAGGTTCATTTCAGTTCTTCTCATAGGGAAGGTTTTAAAATGATTAAATGATTGCTTGTTGAGTCGTCTGGCAACAAGAGGAAGAGGGAAGAAAATGATTTGGAATGGCACTGCAGAAGATGCTTGGAAATGCAGCTTGATGTTGGTGACGCAAGGGAATGCAACTTGAGGCCATTGAAGCTGTTCTATCACTAGAAGTTGGGATCCTACTTGGTCTCCCAACTGTCAAGACCCCCAACAAGATCAAGACTGGAAAATGCTAAAGACAAAGAGAAAAAGCTAGTGAAAACAAAGAAGAGGCCTTAGACTGGTGTTGATTCAGATTGTGGAGAAATGGAACAAGGCTAACCTATATATACTATAGGTTGATGAAGCTCCACCACTCTTGAATCGAGGACGGCCTAAATATAGCTGAGGTCGAGGAGGCGCCACATCATCATCAGGGAAGTGTCTCGAGAGTCAGGAATAGGGAAGTGTCTCGAGAGTCAGGAATGTGGTTTGCAGGTCAGGAATCCGGCGAGAGTCAAGAATGTGGCAAGAATTGGGGGATTCCTGACACCAACAAATTCTTCAAAATTCCCAATGAATTCGGTGGTAGGGCAGGTGGTAGAAGGCCTGGATATTGTCCAGAAGATTGTGAGTACCAGGGTGGTCAAAGATAACACAAGCAATCTTTACTTCCAGTATGTATTTTCTTCTCTTCGTTCCTTGGGAAAAATCTCATCTTGAATCCCCACAACATTGCCAAGCTTATAGGCAATACCCGAGCAGTGGTCATTGAGAGGGGATTCAATCAACCATACACAAAGATTGTCATTTTGCAGTTTGGCATTCTTGGTACTTACTCTTGCAAAATTCTTTCTTTCCTTTCAATATAACTCTGATCCATTTGTGTTTCTATTGCCAGACAACTAATACAAACAGCTTTACGTGAATGCTCATGTCCTTCCAACAAGAATGCTCTATCTAAATTGATGGAATCGATCCAAGGATATTGGCAGTGGCCATGCAAGGTGGGAATGCTACGCCTAGAATTGTTGATCATGTAAATCATCACATCTTTATCAATTAGAGTATGCTCCTTGAATTCTTCCTTCTTCAGATTATGACAACAAATTTCCTTCTAGTTATTTTCCATTGTATCAATGAGGCTCACATTGTTGTCACACAGTGCTCCTGCAAGTTGTTCTGCAAGTTGTTTTGCAAGTTGTGTGCAGGACTTCTTCCTTAGCCAGCCTGAACTATGCTTTTCAGGATTGTTGTTGTTTTTTGTCATTGCCAAAAGTGATTATGAACAAAAACTATAAAACATACCTTTAGGCTCTAATTCTCCATATGGAGGTAATAGTGATCATTGTTGTGAAGTTCTTGGTGTTATTAATGATGATTGTTGGGATGTAGATGGTGAAAACATTGATTCCTAAGTCTGTTTCTGTGAATTTACAGTTTGACAGTCCTAAAGCCACTTGTCCATCATTCCATAGAGTTGATCATTGAACGTTGGTGGTATATCATCTTCACGACATTGCTCTGTTGTCATGTTTCAGTACTGCATTTGCCAGTAAGAACATGATATTCATATGACTTGATTTTGTTGAACTCTTTGTAAATATACTCCCAACAAGATTGGCATTGCCCAGGCAAATGGTTGACACCATGTGTCAAAC